GCGGCCAAAGCTATGAAAACATGGCAGCCATAGCTCAGATTGCACATGGCCTGGCCAGTGCTTAAGAAAACAATGGCTGCTTATTCTTAATCAAAGTGCTTTTGTCTTTAAGAATGCTACATCAGGTATAAATGGCCTGATTATAAATGCTCAAATAGCTTCAAGTGCAAGTAAGAAAACTACTGTAAGTCACTGAAAACTATTTATATTAATGATATCTAATATTCTTGAGAGCTTCCTATATGCCACTTATTACATATGTCTTTGTGTATCATTACAACAAGTTTAAGAGGTTGCCACTTCACAGATGGCGAGACTGAGACAGACAGAGAGAGGTGAGGTAACTTACCCAAAGTCTCATCATTAAAAAGTGGCAGAGAAAAGATTGGAGCCACACAAGCAGTCTAGATGCCAGAGACCTTGCTCTTAACTATGCCATCCTCTTCCATTTTAGTGGTACTAACACCCATGAGAGCATTTTGGGGTTCATCACATGCAAAATATTATATGCGGCTCGGGAAGTTTCAGAAACTTTCACAAGTAGAGATCCTAAGCAAAATTACCAATAGTCAAAACTCTAGAAAAACAAAAAAACTATCAATAGGAAGAGATGACTTCATTTTGTCTATAGTATTTGCCTGACCCAAATATTAACCACTCTCTTCTCCTGGTCTTTTGAACTATAATATCCAATATTACTTATAAATAAAATTTGAAAAGCCCTTGGAGTATATTAAAAAGCAACTCTGTATAGCAAAACTAACAGTTGTCAAGACTGTCAGTTCAGCAAAAATGGCAAAGATTGCAAAAAAGTTATCATATAAATATGTAGATTTGTTAGATATAACAAAAAAAATGTGTAATGCATAAAGAAATCTTGAGAAAGGAGGGAAAATTCTAAGTTCCAGAACAAGTAGGGATTTAAAAGAGAGGCACGTGCTTCAACTACTTAGGGGAGGAGTTAAGAGCCATGGAGAGAAAAAGGCCAAAAATATGTCTAAAGAAGTACCAGAAAGAACTAGGAGAATTGGGAAGAGGCAATATTCTAAAGGCAATAGTTGAGAATTTTCCAGAGCTGAGTAAGCACAATGAATGTAAAGCAGAATAAATAAAAATAAACCTACATGTAGATACATCCATAAAAAGTATTCCTACAAAGGACTGCCAATAGATTTCTCAAGAGCAACAAGAAAGTGCAGATTACAATGAAATAGCATCTTCAAATTGCTGAAGTAAAAGAGCTATCAGCTTAGAATTCTATAGTCAGGTAAACTATAGTTCAAGAATAAGAGCTGAAATAAGACATTTTAAAGTAAAGACATAGTTTACATTAAAGGCCTAAAGTTAATGAAACACTATGTACTTTATGTAGATAACTGACTCAGAATGAAGACGGATACAGAAACAATAGCTTCTATATGATTTTCTGTTATTTTTCATACTTTGAAAATATTTCATAATTAGACATGTAAAAGACTTAGAAAAGTAGCCAATAACAGGCAAAAAATGTAATGAAATCATAGGAAAACGAATTCTTTTAATAAAGACTAAAAATTTAATAATAGCTGGGCAAAGGTGAGAAGAAGCCCTCTCATAGTGGGGATGAGTATATACAATTCATACAAAGTTCCTGGAGAACAACTAGGCATCACATTAAAAATTCTTAACATTCTGCATGTAACAGTTACCAGTTATCCTTCTAGGAATTTATTCTAAGGAAAGTATTGAGGATACGTGCAAAGATATACTGCAAGATGTTCATTACAACAGTGTTGTTTAAAAGAGCAAAAAAAGTTGCTGACTGGTTATAGTACATCCATATGATGGACTCCTTATACTTCCACAAAAGACAGAATAAAGCCGTTAAAAAGTAACATAAAATAGAGGAACATTTATGACAAGGAAAATGTCTACATTCTATTAAGTAAAAACAAGCAGATTTCAAAAAAGAAACTACGATTCCAATTTGTTTTAAAAAACTCTCTAAATAAAAAAGACTCAAAGTCTATATACATCAATATATTAAGAGTTATCTAGGTGATAAAAGCTACCAGGATTATTTTCTTTTAATTAATCAGCATTTTAAAAACTTTCTAAAATGTGTATAATTATTTTTAATAACTAGTATTTCTAAAAATTCCTATTGTTGAGACCCTTTTATATATTTTTGTTTTATTTGTTATTAAAAAAATAGTTATTTGAAATCTCAATCCCCCTAAAATGTAAAAACATTAGAACTTGCAAATGCTGGGTTGGCCAATCTAACAGTGGGAGAGAAGACAAGTTCATTTACCATTTCTTGTTAATAATTAGCTCAAGAAGATAACTATCATTTTGTTAAACATTAAGAAGAATGAGCTTATGTACAAAGTTACATAGGTCAGGTCTCTCTTTGGAAGCTAAAATCATTTTATGACCAGCAAAGGGGATATTCACATAATAAATATGCTTATTGTGTACCTGTTGCTAAGCCTCTTTCTTATGCAGACACATCCTCACACAAGCTATAGTAATCTTATACTTGCAAATAAACCATCTGTGTAATACTTGAGAATTTTCTGATAACTATTGGAGAGATGTCTATGTGTGACTGACCCTATTTGGCACTTGCTGAAGATTCTGCTGTAGGATGCAATACCTTGCTTTTTGGTACATTTAATAAACAGCGGTAGATTAATTTGCTTATCGTTTACTTAGATCTATTACTGTTTAATTCTGATTAGTAGTTCAGGTCTGAAGATGGCTGTAAATTGATGCCCTCTCCCTTCAATATAATTAATCTTTCCACTATGAAGATGACGTTTTTATAACCATGTGAAGTAGAAGTTTGTAACTAGCTGGACATCTTATGTGTTAAAACCTTTGCTCTCTCTGTCTATATCCAAGCACCCATCTTTCACTTATACAGATCGAGGGTCCCTTATTCAAAATGCTTGGGACCAGAAGAAGTGTGTTGGATTTTGGATTTCAGATTTTCGGATTTGGGATGCTCAATCTGTAATTCCCTTCTAGTTGGTCTTTCTTCCTTCATACTCTTGTTCCTTTGAAGCATACCTCCATCATTTTTAAAAACTACAAACTAATTTCTCTTGATTAAACTCCCTGCTAATAATTTCTCTTGCTTAAATGTCTTGCTTTTAAGATAAAATCTAAAGCTCTCAACATGGCTTAAAAAGCACTGCCCTACACGGATTTTCTCTCAACTTCTCCAGTTTATCTTAGGCCAACTCCTATCTCACTCTTCAGTCGCAATGACATCTCAGTGTGACATTTCAGACCCATGACCTTTCCTGTTTCAGGGTCTTTGTACATATAACTTGCTCTCCTTGACTTGTTCTTCTTTCTATCTTAGAGCGTAGTTAATGCTTATTCATCTTTGAGATCTGAGCTCAAATGTCACTTCCCTGACCACCCCTGTTAGACCAGTTTCCTCCAGTTTATGTTTTTACAACTCCCTATTTTTCTAGTTTTCTTAATAGATTCTTACACTTATATAAATTATATATTAATGGTTAGTTTCTGCAAGCAAACTGAAAACCCATGAAGGCAAGATATATATTTTTCTTTACCATTGTAACATCCGTTCTTAAATAGCACAATTTTTGACTCAATGTATACACACTGATTTATAGGAGATACGATCAATTTAACTGATAGGTTAGATGAATGTCTTTGACATGCTTTTTTCTTTAGTTTCTAAGAAGTAAAAAGCAAGTAACATCTGGGAAATTAATAACTCAAAAACATGGTAGAAATATGAGAACAAGTTCACCTTTTTGAGAGGCAAAGATCTACGAAGAATTAGTTGTTTGAAATCTTGGCTCTTATTTGCTGGGCAAGTCACTTAACACCTTTGAATCTAAATTTCCTCATTTGTAAAAGAGAATAACATTGGTCTTTTCTACCTCATATAAATAGTGTGATGATCAAATAAAGCATGGGAAGGAATGATAAACAAACAACTAGATAACTAAACAAATATTATTTAGGATAACTGTTACACAGTAAATGATGCACTTAGGTACATATACAGGGAAAATTAATAGATACATTTAAGAATTATTCTTTTTTCATTATATGAATCCCAATAAAGACAAGATAGAAAGTCCAGAATTAAACCATATAGAGGTAAACCTGAATGTTTCTTTTTTTGATAAACACTTTTCTTTTTCTTTTTGAGTTGGCGTCTCACTCTGTCGCCCAGACTGGAGTGCAGTGGCCGCTCCCGGCCACCGCAGCCTCGACCTGCTGGGTTCCGGCGATCCTTCTGCCTCAGCTTTCCAAGTAACTGAAACTATAGGCGCACGCTACCATGCCTGGCTAATTTTTGATTTATTGTAGAGATGAGGTCTCGCCAAGTTGCCCAGGTGCGTCGTGAACCCGCGGGCTCAGGCAATTCACTCACCTCAACCTCCCAAGGTGCGGGATTACAGGCTGAGCCACCAAGCCCGGCTGATAAACACTTTTCTAATGTTAGAGAAATACATTGCAAAACCTATCCAGCCAATGTTCTGGGAACTGATAACATAATGATGAGATGATAACAGCTGATATTTGTTCAATTATGTATGGCGAACTGCTCTGTTTTACACATTCATAAATACTCATTTAATTCTCTTAAAAATTTTATAGAGTAGGAACTATTATTCCCATCTTCGGTTGCAGATAGGAACTGAGGCACAAAAATGTTAAAACTTGTCTGAGATTCCATACCAAGTAAGTGGCAAACAGATTTAAACTCAGGTAGTCTAGTCCAAAGTCCACACTGGTCTCTTCATTTCACTACCTTAAACTCTGCATCCATGCAAGTTTTTCTCAAGTTCTCCATAAAAGTTGATCAAGTAAAATGATCGTCTATCTAGTACAAAAGAAAAACTAAGGGGTAGAAATGCAACAAGTAATGGCTTTAAGATATTTATGATTAATTTTATCACCTTTACTTTTAGAATCAAGTAACATTCCAATTTTAAAAGATAAAAATAAAAAAGATATCCACTAACCAGGATATGATCCACTCGATCTCTTTTCTTTCTTCCAAATTTCATCATTTTCTGCCAATCTGTTTTGTGGTTTGGCTCCTTTTTAAGACTGAATAGTTTGAGTACTTCACTTGCTATGAAGTTCTGTGGAAAGAAGAGGAATAAATGAAACACAACAAAGTTCTTGAGATTTATGTGCTTACAATGCAGTACACAGATTTATGCTAAGAATATAATAGTTATAATACAAGATCATACAAATTTCTTCCACTTACAGTTCTACTTAGCAATTTAAAGGAAAAAACACTCCAATTGCTCAGACCTTATTCATTTAAAGAATTTTTTATTTTATACAACATAGAAAAGTTGATTCTGCAAAGAAACATCACTTTAGCGTTCCCTTTACCCAAAAACCACCATTAGCTAACTTCAAGCTGGAAAAACTGCTAAAGAAAACATAAAATAAATCTCTGAATCTAAAAAATCTCCAAGAAATTTTTGGGAACAATGCCATGTGAGAAAAACACAAGGCTTTGTCTAGGAGAGTTTATTTTGAATCGTCAAAATGTGAATTTGTTAAATTAAAAAAATTAATCAACACTTCACTATGAGAAGCACAATAATTTTGCTGTTAACAATATTTGAACTAGCACCCTTAAACACTTTACAAAATGCTATTTCAATATTAAAATTAGCGGGTAGCATCTATTATATGCTACACTGATAGGTGCAGTTTGATAATTGCTAGTATTATTATTTCTTATTTCAATTTATTTGTTCTTTGTTATTAATAAAATAATTTATTTTATTACTTTTTATGGTTGTTCTATTAAAAAAACAACATTCTCAATGGGGGAAGGGACACATTTATGAACCAGAATCATCTGAGAAGATTCTCAAAGTACCAATGTGCCCCTAAACTCCACTACTTCCTACCTTCACACAAACACATACCACACATTCAAGGATTTGTCAATTGTGGAAGGGTGGCAGGAATGGAGGACACAGTGTGCTTTGAAAAAGCTACTTACTTTATGCCAGGGCTTGAAAACCTTTTCTGCAGAGGATCAGACTGTAAACATGGCTTTGTGGGCCATGTTATTTTTGTCACAAACTCCATTCTTGTAGCAGGAAAGCAGCCATAGATAATATGTGAACAAATTTGTGGTTGTGGTCCAACAAAACTTTATTTATAAAAACAGATAGTAGGCTGGATTTGGCCCATGAGCCATAGTTTGCCAGCTTCTGAGGTAAACAGATATTATACCTCATAAATATCTGTTGGTGTCCTGTCAGTATAAAATATTTTTAAAGGCAGACTGGGTGTGGGGTCGCCTCAGTCTCCCAGCACTTTGGGATGCAGAGGTAAGAGGATTGCCTGAGCTCAGGAGTTCGAGACCAGCTTGAGCAACATGGTGAGATCTTGTCTCTACAATAAATTAAAAAAATTAGCCAGTGGTGGTGGCGCAAGCCTGTGGTTCCAGCTACTTGGAAGGCTGAGGCAGAAGGACTGCCTGAGCCCAGCAGGTCGAGGCTGCAGTGGCCATGAGCGTGCCACTTCAGCCTGGATCACACAGTGAGACTCTGACTCAAAAAAAAAAATTTTTTTAAATAAGGTTTTTTAGACTTTCTATGATCAAGTTTGGCAAACACAACTTTAAAGTCTTGCTACTCAGATGGCCACGAGACCAGCAGCATCAGCATCACTTGAGAGTTTGCTAGAAATGCAGAATTTCAGGTCCCTCTCTCTCCAGACCTCTGAATAAGATTCTCCACTGTAACAAGATCCCCAGACGAATCATATGCACATTAAGGTTTGAGAATCACTGCTCTGGAACTATAACCTTTGCTGAATTAAAGAAACATGTAACTAGGTGGAATACAGTACACTGCCATCAATGTGACTTTCAAATTCACAGCTCTTATAGCTTCTTTTTTTTTTGAGTTGGAGCCTCACTCTGTTGCCCAGGGTAGAGAGGAGTGGCACACTCACAGTCACCCAGCATCAACCTGCTAGGTTCCAGCAATCCTTCCACCTCAACCTTCCAAGTAGCCAGAACTACAGGCACGTCCTACCACACCCGGCTAATTTTTCATTTATTGTAGAGACGAGGTCTCGCCAAGTTGTCTGGGGTGGTCTAGAACCCTGCGGGCTCAGGTAATCCACTCACCTCGGCCTCCCAAAGTGCTGGGATTACAGGCTGAGCTACTGAGCCCGGCCAGTTCTTACAGCTTCTAGGTAAAGGTTTTCAAAGGTTTCTTAGGTAAAAAACAAATATTTTTATATGACATATTATCCTACATATTTCAAAACCACATTACCAATATGAAGTCAAAGATAGAAGGTAACACTTATGTGTCTAGGGCTGGCATATTGAAAAATTATAAATATGACATGTTTTCATATGTACTTTTCAAACATTATACTTATGACTATATTCCAAAAAATTCACCTAAAACTCCTATGAGATGCAATAATTTCTCCCTGGGTATTTTCTAATTTTTCTTAAAGATTATAAATTAAGTATATATGAGAGGGGGCCCCCCCAAAAACCTGGAATCATTTTTTAGAGGGCAGGCTCCTTGTAGTATGTTTCCCCTGCTAGGTAAGTGTTATAGGAACCCATTAGCATCAGTGGACCAGCTAGCACTGTTGTTGAAGGCTGAGTTCAGCTTCAGTTAATTTTTTTTTTAGAGATTCTTTCAACATGTTTGCCCATCTCATGATAGGTGATTTATGAGTGCACCTGCCCACACCGTGCTGAGTGTTCAGCAGGGTTTTTTTTTTAACCAAAAACAGCATGATCCTTGTGCCCCATCTTCCCTACTCACCTGATCTCGCCCTGAGCAACTTTTTTTTGTATCCTGGGATGAAAAAAGTCCTCAAAGGTAAATGTTTTGCTGATGTGGAAGAGGCGAAACAAAACACTGCAGATGCACTAAAAGGCATCAAAATTGACAAGGTTCATAACTGTTTTGAGCAGTGAGAAAAGCATCCCAATAGGATTGCATCAATGAAAAGTTCCCTGAAGGTGACTGAAGTTTAAACACGTAAGAATAAATATACAATGGGTCCCCTCTCACATAGGAAATGACTGGTAAACATCATTTTTTTGGGTACAAACTTGAGGATTCAGGGCTCCTTTCACTCCCATTCCTCCAGTGTTCATGATTCAGTGAATCAACAATTACTTACTGGATATCCAATGTGCAATGGGCCCTGGGGACATAAAGGCAAATCATACAGAAGAGTACCTGCTTTACAACATTTACACATCTAAGTAAATTACCAGCAAGCCAAAAAAGGAGACACTTTATAGTTTGCAGTTTACCTTGATTTCATCAAGGTTATTTGGATTTTTCACTCGTCGGAAATAACTAGAGTTGATTCTACATGGCTTCATCCAGACAGGTTGATTCAAGTTAGGATCCTCAGCAAATATTTCCTCAAAAATCTCTTTTGTTAAATCAAAAACCGCCTTAAACGAGAAAAATAAAACAAATGGCTAAGTATCCACATTTCAGACAATGGGAGAGAAGTTTAAAAATTAAAATTATCCTTTCACATTACATACCTGATTGTAGACCCTTTTACTAGTGCTTTCTATATGTAGGCCCTTACTGGCAGAGCCAAGCAGTTTTGTAGGAATACTGACGCTATTAAGATCATGGCCTAACTCTTTCCATTTCCAAAGTTCTTCTGCCGCATTATGTACAAGAGTCTCTACTTCCTCTGCAGTATGTGGGACTGCCAATAATGTTTCACACGGCTGCTGGGGTGCTCTTTTAGGTTCTGCCATTAGAGGTACAATGGTTTCTTCTGCCTTATTTTTTTGGATCTTGTGAGAGGAACTCAAACCAAAGTCTTCATCAAACCAGTCTTGTTCATCTCCTAATGCGCTCAGGAACTCCCGGCTGAGCTCAAGTTCAGCAAGTCTCTTAGCAAGCTCTTCCTGCCCACTGGCACCGAACACTGGGCTCTCCTATAGAAATGGAACCATTCAAACAGGGGACCATTTAGTGACTTCAGACCACTTAAGAAGTTTTTTTTTAAAAGACAAAATAAATATATTAATTATACATTTAATATTTCTCTATAAATAAGCAAAATAAAAACAATATTGTGGCTACTGATGAACAATTTAAGAAAAAGTATCCTATTCCCACAATTCTACTTATATAAGCCTTATAACTGAATTTTTATAAAATGTTTACTGACTAGGGTGTTTTTCCCCTTACTGTAACATCCTTACTCTGTTTCTAAAGGACTTACTGTCTCTGGGATATGAAGTTTCTCACCTTTGATGATTATCTGGTTCAAGTTACTCAAACTGTCATGGGCAACCCAAACAAGTTGATGGTCTGAGGATATGTCACAGTGGATATATTTCAGTTTTATCAGAATCAACATCACAACAGGTAATTTCTGCAGGGCAATCATGACTGAATACATATGTGAACAAATAACTTCACAGACAAAAAAGAACTGGGCTGTGAACCACTGGAAAGCTCTACAGAATCAATTTGTTCAGTGAATCTAGAAGGGGATCTCATCTGTAGACAGTCTACAGGAGTTGTCAATCTAGCAGTTTAAATGGATGTTTCAGTTCCCATAAACCTGCCAGTGTTTGTGACAACCCTATAGTGACTACTCATGACATAATAGAGGACAATTACACTTTAGACAGAAAAAATAGCTACAAGGCCTTTAAAACTAGTATAGTGATCTTTATCTAGTGAACAACACATCAGGAAAAAAATATATCAGGAGCCACAGAATTAAAATGTACCATACAGGCAAGGTAAATTGACACTTCTTCTAGATACTTACAGGTCTGGGACACATATCTGGAGAAGAAATCTCTTCTTTTTCATCTTCCAATTCAGACCTTACGAAGCAACTTGGAACACTTAGTAACTGTTCCTCAAGATTCTGGGACAGATCTTGGGGTGGTATTTCCTTTTGGTCATCATCAAGGAGCCCCTGATTACTAAGCTGGATTTTCTCATTCCTAGCTTTTTTGATTTGTTGTAGTTGACTGACTGTGTCTTTCACAAAGACTTTTAGTAAACTGTCTGTCAGTAAGCTAACGGTTTCCAGTTGTTGCTTTGACTTTTTCTCCTCATTCAGCTGGGCTTCCAGTTGGTTTTTTTCTCTTGTTAAAAGGTCCAGAAGTGGGGTAGAAAGCTTTTCTGAAACTTCGGAATATAAGTTATCTTCCTTTTCTGTAAACTGCTGTTGCTTCAATTCTTCAGAAAAGGTATTGTCTAAAGTATCATCTTCTGCAGCAATGGAAACCTTTTCTGTGGCACCAGAAACAAGGTCTTTGTTTTCCTCTAAAGAAATCAGTGAATCGACTGGAGATCGCTGGTGAACATGGGCTTCAGATACCCCAGAAATGCCCTGTATATTATCTGTTTCTATTTTAAGGCTTCTATCTCTATCAACTGAGGCTCCTATATCATTCATACTAGGTAGAGATTTCTCATAAAAATAGTCACTTGCATCTTTTTCTCTATCTTTTAGACCCTCTGCATCCTTTTGCTCTTGATTATGGTACTGACATTGTTCATCTGAGTAAGAATCTTCATCTTCGTTTATGTCTATATAGTCATCAAAATTTTCTGGAATGTGAGATATTTTTTGAGGAGGAGCAAAAATACCATGCTTTTCTTTGCACTCAAAATACATAATGCCATCATATGTTCCATTGTTATTTCCTTCAGGTTTATCCAACTCCACTCCAGCCCAAAATCCTTTAGCAAAACTAGTCTCACCTTTGAATCGAAGAGTTCCTGGCTGAACATTGCCAATCAACACCCTATCACCAATGTAGAAATCAAGTAACTCATCTGCAGTAGGAACAGCAGGAACAGCAGGATCTGGAACCAGGGAAGGGGATTCAGGAAGTCCTTGGTCATGCTCCACATCACTGCGTTCCTTACTTTTCATGAGTTCAGTAGGGGATCTGAGTTCTAACAGTCTTTCAGAGTGAACACCATTATGAACAGAAAGGCTTTTCTCACTTAGGCACTCACTGATTTCATCAACACTGCTTAAGCTAGTGGCTTTACTTCCAGAACTCCTCGTTGGTTGTGATTTATCTCTGCAAGACTGAGAGTCTTTCCTGAGTGACAACAAAGATGGTATCTTAAGATCATCTTTGTACAACTCAGCTGAAATGTCTTTCTTGAAAGAAGACACTTCAAAATCCTCAGAGTATGATATCTCTTTAGGAGCAAAAAGATGTTCAGACCAAGACAAGTCCCGTTCCTTTTTGTTCTTTTGTTCATGAATGTCTTTTCCTGGTTGAATGTTGGAACTATGATCTATTCCTTGATCTGACTTTGTCTCTTTCAGTATTTCTTCATTTTTATAAAGGTTTTCAATGGCTAATCTAACTAAGTCTTTCTGAACATTTATAGAATCAAAAGGAAGATCTTTCTGTGACAGAATTTCAGATGAATCTCCCTGTTCCAGGTCCAGTTTCAGTAAGACATCAAATTTCCCTTGTTTAGAACACACATCTTCAATCTCATTCTCCTCCAATTTTGCATATTCTACTTCTTGTATTTCTAATTTTTTATTAGATTCTTCAATTGTGCCATCTGACACATCAAGAATCCTACTAGGGGCATTTACTTCTTTGAGAAGAGGTAATGAGGGTACATTTTCTAGAGAATCTCCAGATTCTGCCCTAGTTTTCCTTGAAGATCTGAGAACTGGAGATGGGGTCTGAAAATCTTCTGTTTGGCTATCCCATTCCATCACTTTCTTTGCATATGCAGATAAAGACCTTTCTGATACTGATCTCTCAGAACCTGACATTGAAGCATCTTAAAAAAAAAAAAAAAATCACATCAAAATTAATCATAATCTTTCAATTTTATGGACCCAAGTTTAAATAAAAGCCAAATTTTAGTGAAGAAAAACTCTGGTCAATAAATCTGACCTGCTTTGGTTACTACATAAGGTAAGTTTTCTTTTAAGATAACATACTATACCAACAAGTAAAAAAAATTTTTTTAATTATTGAAAAATTTAAAGTTTAGAATAATTTCTTGTGTTGTCTTAACTTATAAAGAAAAACAGATGAAGTTTTATAGAGCCATTGCTTTGCATGATCATTCATAAATCATGCAAAAACAGAACTCTATGACAGATATTATATACATTCTTCAAACAGGAAACTGATAAGGGAGTGACGAATATACTTCTACACAACTTCTAAAAGAGTAAATTTTTCTGGGACCTTCAACCAAGCTCTTGAATGTAAAATGAAAAAATAACAACAGTTTCTGCAAATATAGTACTTTAGGAGCTAAATTTGGAAAATAAGAAAGTATGATACAATGCATTAACAAACCAAGAATTAAAAGTTTTTAATTCAAATCTCTTTTTTTTTTTTGAGTCAGAGTCTCACTCCGTCATCCAGACTGGAGTACAGTGGCATGCTCAAGGCCACCCCAGCATAGATCTGCTGGGCTTTGGCGATCCTTCCGACTCAGCCTTCCAAGTAACCAGAACTACAGGCGTGTGTTGCCACGTCTGGCTAATTTTTTATTTATTGTAGAGACAAGGTCTCGCCAAGTTGCCCAGGCTGGTCTCGAACTCATGGGCTCAGGCAATCCACTTGCCTTGGCCTCCCAAAGTGCTGGGATTACCGGTTGAGCCACCGAGCCCAGTCTATTTTTTTTTTTTTTTTAAAAGAGTCAGGGATATGATCCTGCCCAGGCCAGAATGACATGATCATAGCTCACTGTAACCTCAAACTCCTGGACTCAAGCGATCCTCTCACTTCAGCCTGTCAAGTAGCTGGGACTATAGGTGTAAGCCACTGTGCCTGACTAAATCTCTATTTTGCCATTGATGCTAAGTAGGTTTTTCATGTTTCAGCTTTATTTCCTTACTGAATTATATTTTATTTTAAAGAATTCTTAGCTTTCTTTTGGTTAAGTTGAAAAAAATGTATATAACCATTTATCCTGAGAAGTAGTATAGGCTGAAAATATACATAATCAGACAAAAAAATCTGACTAAGGGGGAATTTAGAGATGCTGATAATACACTCAGCTATTTAATCTTCATGGTTCAATTTTTATCATAAATTTGGGACAATAAAGACTGATGTATATAACTTATGCATACCCAATAAATCACTATAAAATATACAACTTTAAAATGTTACTTATAACTGATTTAAGAAATCACTTTTTTTTTTTTTTTTGAGTTGGAGTCTTACTCTGTCACCCAGACTGGAGTGCAGTGGCCACTCCTGGCCACCGCAGCCTCAAACTACTGGGCTCTGGCGATCCTTCCACCTCAGCCTTCCAAGTAGCCGGAATTACAGGCATGTGCTACCATGCCCGACTGATTTTTTTTTAAAATTTATTGTAGAGATGAGGTCTCGCTGCCCAGGCGGGTCTCAAACCCACAGGCTCAGGCAATCCACTCACCTCAGCCTCCCAAAGGCGCGGGATTACAGGCTGAGCCACTGAGCCCAGCTAAGAAATTCACTTTTTAACTAAAAAGTTGTAGATGTAGAATTTTGTAGGCCTTTGCACAAGTCCTTAGACTATACAGATACAATTTAGTTATTTTTTCCTAGTTACATACCAACATGTTCAGCAATAGACTCTAGGGAGCCTCTGGAACGTTCTGCCTCTGTTAGTGATTTCCAATTCTTTGCTGTTTCAGATCTGAAATGAAAAAAATTAATGAGTAGAAATGAATATATTGCTATAATAACTGGTAACAAAAAGCAGAATTCTTGGACAACTATTTCATTCCTCTTCTTCATGGGAAGTATTTCAACCTTTGCCACTTTCACCAAGACATTTTTTTTTTGAGCCAAGTTTAACTCTGTCACCCAGGTTGGAGCACAGTCACACGGTCATGGCTACTGCAGCCTCGACCTACTGGGCTCAGGCAATCCTTCCACCTCAGCCTCCGGAATAGCTGCGACTATAGGCATGTGCCACCACACCTGGCTACTTTTTAAATCAAAATAAATCAATTGTAGAGACAAGGTCTCCCCAAGTTGCCCAGGCTCGAACTTCTGGGCTCAGGCAATCCTCAAGCAATCTTCCCAAAGTGCTAGAATTACAGGCATGAGCTACTGCGCCCGGCCCATCAAGGCTATTTCTAGCCCTCATCACTATAGATGATCTTGCTTCTTCTAATGAGAAAAACAGAGGCCATGAACTTTCCACCTTCAACATTTCCATTCACAGCCATTCTAACCGCCTTTCCTCCTGTCTGTAGGGAAGAATATGTGTGTCTCACCTATTCAAAGTTAATTTCTCAAACCTCATTCTGCTCCATATCCCATGCATTTCCCCAGCCTCATGGATAGTACTCATTACCTACTCTCTTTCCTACAGTGTTGAGCCTGCCACCTAGAGATTTTGTCCTCTCAACTCGTAAGTATGACTGAAGCCTCACACACACACAAAAACTTTTCCCTTCAATTCTCCAATTCTTCACCCCATGTGACCGTCCTCCCTTATTCTTTATAGTCAACAGAAAAGGTTACCTTTACTATCTTCATTATTTGACTCTGTTTCATTTGCTAAATTGTAATACTTGGCTTCCACTTCCTGCCTTTTCCTAATGCCCTTCAATGTTGTTATTTTATCATATTTAGTCTTTGGCTCCCATTTTTCGTCTCTGAATGCATACCTCTTCTAGGAGATGTATATATTTATGGCTTCAACCATAAATATATGCTGATCATCTCCTTATTTCTGATCATGACAACTTTCCTGGATAACTATACTTAGATAAACTACAGGCATCTCAAAATTAACATTTAAAACTAAAATCATAAGCTTTCCAAAGAAAGCCACCTTCTTGTCCATTCACATTAATGAAACCTTGACCCAATCAACTACCTAAGTGAAACCTGGAGTCATCCTAGATTTGACCTCCTTCCCCATCTTGCACTTTAAGCTAGTCAAGTCTACTTCTTGACTAAAATATATCTTCTACTTTCTGTTTTTATTATTACTGCTTATTTGAGGCTTAGACTACTTTCTTCTTGCTTCTAAGCTTACTTTCTCTTTCCTTCATATTGTAGCCAGAAAGATCTCTGTAAACACAAATCTGACTGTGTCACTTTCTGGTTAAAATACTTTAATAGCTCAAGAGAATTATAAAGTCATTCATTAGTATGTTATTTTTTTTTAATTCACATTTTATAATATAATGGGAAATGAGTATGCTACAAACACACACAAAATCTAACAATAAAAAATCACGTAAGGAAATATATCTAATTGCTGACATTTGCTATTTTGGGATAATTGAATATAATATGATTTAAACTTTTTTCTTTTAACTGCTTTCCTAGTATAACAATAACAGCAGCTTAAAAAACATAATAGTAGTTAATACACAATGCTTACTGTGTGCTAGGCTTTGTTCTAAGTTAAGTCTTTTATCCCTCATAACAAGTGTATTAATCAGGCATTATTAATACACATTATAACATAAATCCCTGTTAAAACACAGAAGCACAAAGAGGTTAAATAACTTGCCTGTTGTTACAGAGCTAGCTGAAACTGGAGCCAGGATTCAAATAGGTAATGCTGAATTAATTGTAACAAGCCAGGATTATTTTGTAACAAAAAGTCCCAAAAATACTTTAAAAATCCCCAAAAACCTTCAAAGGCTCCATATCTTCTAAATACAAAGTACTAAGAACAAATGGGTACAGGTTTTCACAATTTGGCTTTTATTTATTTTTCCAGTCTCTTCCACTAACTCCAGCAATATCTCATTATTTTCGACTTCTAAGACAAGACAATGTCTTTTCTGCTTTTAGAGTCATGAGTGCCCTTCTCTGAGAAATACCCCCTATTTCTCAGTTGTATTGATCTACCTGACCCTTACACACTATTCAAAAGTTAGCTTAAATATTATAACCTGGCTTTTTAATATGCTGTATTTATATATTCTAGTGTTGCAACTCAGTATATTCTGTATTTGCTTACTGGCTGCACAATACTCTGTCATCTGCACAGAACTATAATTTACTGAGGCTATTCACCCATTTTTGGACATAAATACTGTTTCCAATGTTTTATAAATATAAAGAATGTTATAATAAATATACTCATGTAAATACAGATTTGTGGTACTCCATATTTTCTCAAGCTAGATTTCCAAAAGTGGGATCACTGGGTCAAAGGTTACAGACAGTTTTTGACTTCTGAAATACTGTCAAAAGATCTATACCAATTTATGATGCTATTACTAGCAATGTTAAACAGTACTATTTTCATTGTACTCAACAGACTGCAAGATTAAAAATATTTTTTTAAATCAGTACCTTATAATAAATTTAATTTGTATTTATAATACATAATACTTTTACTTTAATAAAACTAAAAAACAAAATTTCTACTTCTTCAATTTCGCAATTACTTAAAAAATACCATCTACAAAAAATATTTCCTTATTCTTTTCTCAAACAAGGCAGAATATAGATAAGTTATCAAAAATTTCTACCTGTGTAGTGGAAGAGGTTTGATCTTGGGCTTTTCAGAAGCTGAGGAGAGTGTTTTAATCTGAGGCTTGGCTGTTGGTGATGTTTCCAAATCTCGGCTAAGCTCAGCTTCTGTTTTCTTAATGAATTCATCATATGACTAAGTTTAGAAAAATGAGAGGAATCATTAGGCAGAATTTTTAAAAACTACTTTAAATTATGCAATATATACTTCATGGTAAAATACTCAAACAGTAAATAAGATGTTATATAAAAACCTCCCTCCCTGCCTCCAGTATCGTTTCCCAGAGCTCTATAACAGTTATTTGAAGATCCTTCTCAAAATACTCTATATATAAGCAAGGTGTGTAACTGTAATCCTCGTATCAATTAAGAAATGACAATCTCAATCTACAGAAGTTTAATAATATGAAGCAATATTTCATACCATCACATTAAACATTTATTTAATTGATTATATTATTATATATTATATTGTTACCCTCTTATTGCTATTACTTTCATGTATTTTTTACTTTCATGATATTTTTAAGAAGTCTAGCCATTCTCTGAGTTTCAATGGCAGCAAGTTCCTTATGGGAGAAGTACTTAGGGATACAAACTCTGAAAAGGGAAGGGTATGGCTCAGAGTATGATAGCTCAGAATCATAAAAAACGTTTCCTGGTTATTACCCATTCTGGAAACAAAAATTTACTACTTTATAATGTACATGAAATCTAAAGGGAGCCCTCCATCTATTATTTATCTCCTCAGTTTTCTGGGCTAAATCTCCAACTTTTATAATTCTAACTGTTTGAGAATGTAGCTGTTTTGTTCAACATTGTGTGTCATAGTATCTGGCCCAAAGTAGGCTGTTAATAAATATTTATAGAATAAATGGATGCTTACCAACTGCTATAGATCCCTAAAATCTGGACTAAAATCCCTACTTTTACAACTTTCATCATCCATGTTACCTTCATCTGAATGTTCAATATTTTGGTAAAGTAACTCTTGGTATTAAACACACACCACAGCTACATGGTCTAGCTTGCTAGGTATATATGAGGACTATGATTACTAAGACCTGAAAGCTATACTTACATGAGTGCAATCCACTTCTTAAATCTGTGATCAAACAAAATCCAATCGTTTTTTTATATGAACTGCTATGTCCTATATATTTTTCTCTCATACGCTATAATTTTAAAACTTAAATACATAATTTTTTCTTTATTGAAACTGTTGAATGGAATGTTGAATGAGACGGATCCAGTGGCTCTTCTCTAGAGATAGCCTTTCTGATTGACACAGCTATTAAGGAACATTTTAGTACTTTATTTCCAATAATACTTTACTTCAGTGGCTCCTCATTACTTGACCAAATTCATCAGTTTGATTTCAAAGGTCCTGAATATGACCTATATTTTTAAGTTTCGTTGCCCACTACATTCCAACATGAACTCCCCAGTATGGTCATTGTTTCTCAATCACTTTTCCAAATTCTAAACAGCTGTGTAAGTTATAACCCCTGTTCTTTTTCTATACAGTGTGCCTGTTTTAATGTTTATTTTCTCCAGATCTGTCAATAGGGCTACTTTCTGTGTGAAAGACAGTACAATGGTAAGGTCACATAATTTAAAATTAAAGCTAGATTAAAATTCTAGCTTTACCACTTAGGAGCTATGTATCTCTGGATAAATCATTAATGTCACTGAAACTCAGTTTCCTTACCTGTAAAACACGGATAATAATACTCACATCTTGTAAGGATTAAATTTTTTTTAAATGTATAATTAGCTGAGTTATTAGCACATAAATGGGCATTTGAATATTTAACAATTAAATTAACAACTGTAGGAGGAACATGTGTTCAGTGTTACACAACAAAGACCAATGGGTGGAAATTAAAAGGACAGAAATGTTGGCCAAATACAACAAAGAGCTCTCTAACACTTAGCACTTAGAATCTAACAATGAAACCAACTGTCTTGAAAATCTGAAATTTCCTATTCCTGGAAGTGTTTAGCCAGAAGCCGAATGTCCTTCACTGGTGATACCAGGAGAAGGGATTCTTGTGGTGAGTAGGAGATTCAGTATGATTCTATAATGAACATGGTGTTTTAAGAACACTAGGCTGGCAGAACTTGCATAATAGAAAAGCAGCCAGAGGTTGAACTACTAAGAGACTATGCAGACAACAGCACAAGCTCACAGGGCCCCAACTGGCTTGGAGGCAATAGGACTGAAAAGACACAAGCAAGAAACGTCATAAAAGAAGAATCAACAGGAACTGGTGACTGAATGGATAGGAGAAAACAGAATAAGGAAGATACCAAAACCAGATTTCCAACCTGGAACAGAATCAGGAAAGCTGAGTTACCATTTAGGAGCCAAACAGTACAGAGCTATACTAATGAGTTATGCGGCATGAAACACCATTCTGCAAGACAGACAGACAGGAAAGACAGAAAGGAAAGGAAGGGAAAGAAAAGGAAAGGGAACTGAAGAAGGGGAAAGGAGAAGAGGAAGGGGTGGGGAAGAGGAAGGAAATTGAAGGGGGGAGGGGAGAAAGGGAAGGAGTAGCAATAATTCCAAAAGCTAGAATTATTTATCTAATGGTTCCTTGCATAAGAGGACATAGATACCAATCTTTTTTCCATAGGTCTTATCTTTCTCACTTAGACAAGAACTTACCTTAATATTTTAATATTTATTTATGTTTTACAGGTGATGTCTTGCTATGTTGCCCAGGCTGTTAAGTACAATGGCTATTCATAGGTGCAATCATAGAACACTACCATCCTGACTTCAGGCGATCCTTCTGCCTCAGTCTCCTGAGTAGTTGGGACTATAAATGCATGCCACTGTGCCCAGCCAATTTTAATACTTGTTATTTTAATATTTAATTTAGTATTTTAAGCAAGAGTTTGCTTAGATAGCCTCAGATTTTTTTAAGAAGGATAAAATGTGGCACCACGCTAATAATGAAAAATTATAATCCATTACTTTATTAATAACATTAAACACATCTTAGCCTTCACATATACATTATGCTTGATACTAAACCTCTTTCTTTCTATGTCTAACCTCTAATTGTTTGATCAGACTGGCTTCTTGGGCTTTCAGTCTTTCCTTTTGTCTTTTCTTCTGTTCCTTCTTCAACTGGTCCACAACTGATTTTCGTTTCCGCAGCTCATCCTTCAGAGCTCTGATCCTGCCTTCAATATCACTCTGGTCAGATGTAGTTTCTGAAAAAGACACAGAATCTTTCATTTTTTGGTAATATTTATTTTTTATTTATTTATGTATTTATTTTTGATTTGGAGTCTCATTCTGTCTGTCACCCACTCTGGAGTGTAATGACACAGTCACAGCCACTGCAGCCTCCACCTACTGGGTTCAGGTAATCCTTCCGCCTCAGCCTTCCAAGTAGCTGGAACCACAGCCACATGCCACCACACCCAACTAAGTTTTTACATACTTTTTTTTTTTTTGAGTTGGAGTTTCACTCTGTCGTCCAGGCTGGAGTGCAGTGGCATACTCACGGCCACCCCAGCGTCGACCTGTTGAGCTCTGGAGATTCTTCCCCCTCAGCCTTCCAAGTAGCCGGAACTACAGGTGCAAGTTACCACACCTGGCTAATTTTTTAAAAAATTTATTGTAGAGATGAGGTCTCGCCAAGTTGCCCGGACTGGTCTTGGACCTGCAGGCTCAGGCAATTCACTCACCTCGGTCTCCCTAAGTGCTGGAATTACAGGCCGAGCCACCAAGTCCAGCCTAGTTTTTAAAAATTTATTTATTGTAGAGACGAGGTCTCGCCAAGTTGTCCAAGCTGGTCTAGAACCCCTAGACTCAGGCAATTCTCTTGCCTCTGCCTCCCAAAGTGCTAGGATTACAAGTTTTAAGAAAATGATTTTAGCTTAAGAATAAAGTTAACTCAGCCGGGTGTGATGGCTCAAGCCTGTAATCCTAGCACTTTGGGAGGCCAAGGTGAGAGGATTGCCTGAGTCCAGGGGTTTGAGACCAGCCTGGGCAACTTGGTGAGACCTTGTCTCTACAATATCAAAAAATCAGCTGGGAGTGGTAGCACATGCCTGTAGTTCCAGCTACTTGGAAGACTGAGGTGTGGAAGGATCACGTGAGCCCAGCAGGTTGACACTAGGGTGGGTGGCCAGGAGTGTGCTACTGCACTTCAGTCTAGGCGACAGAGTGAGACTCTAACTCAAAAAATAAAATAAAATAAATAAAAACAAAGTTAACTCAATAACTACTAATGAAAAGCTATAATGTAATACCCCCTTTAAATAAAACCAAGCTAATAATTAAGATTAAGAAATGTGAGCTTCTGAAAAAAATTATTAGTGAAACGTATCCCTGCTTTCCTAATTTTTTTTTACTTGCTCCTCCTATATGTTTTCACTTTCTAATTGTATTATTTGGAAATTATAAATAAATCTTGAGGTATACGTTGTCTTGGTAAGACATGCAGTTGAAAGTTGAAAAATGTTCAGATTGGTGGAATTTGGACATTCTGCAAGGAATTATTTCTGGTGACAAGATAATAATGTTTAACTGTTCTTCCCCTTAGTTATTAATATATAGTTTAATAGTTTTTAAGTCATATTAAAATCAAACTGGAATTTTACCACTTCAAATTGACTGTGATTCACACATTATAAAGATAAATTATAAAGAAACATGCTCTGCTGTAATATTTCTTTGAAAGCGCTTAAAATATTGAATAACTAAAATGAAGCTAGTTAAATCATATTTTCTCCTCAATAGTCCACATACATAAGATGTCAAGTCACATCAACAGTATGAAAAAGATATTTCATTATAAGTGCCCCACCTGCTATAAAAACAAATAGGTATCAATTTAAAAACAATGCTTATTTCCCTACACATGGAAATTACATAGTATAGAAATTACTATTCCTCACACCTCCTCAAACTATACGATGATGTCATTTCCACACACTGATGTTGAGGGAGACATTTAACAGTCTTACAACAGAAATGCTATTGTATACAAGTTTGAAGATTCAGATGTGTACTACAACATTACAATATAAACCAGGTTTTTATCAGGTACTTTGGATTACATTGCATAACAACTAGCTATTTAAATGCAAAAAGATTATAGTATTTTTTATAGTGTGGTTTAAATATCTGAATTAGAAATAATGAAATCTGATTTGCTGTCACTTCTATGATACTGAGTTAAAATATATATTAGGAAAGTTATACCCATCTTATATCAGTAGTGGCATCATATTGAGTCCTTAGCTCAATATTTACTGATCAACACTCATAAAATAAAGTAATAAATTTCTAGAAGTGTTGCAAAGACTAAATAAGAAAAAGTATGTAAAGCATGTGGCACAGTGCGTGGACTACTATAAAAGCTTTTAAAAAAAGAGAGGGAATCAGCCTAAATGTCTATCAATTCAATAGATGAATGGATAAAGGAAATGTATAAATATATAAATACACAATGGAATACCATATAGTCTTAAAAAAGCTATTTGTGACAATATGGATGAATCTGGAGGACATTATGCTAAGTAAAATAATCCAGGCACAGACAAACAAATACTATGTGATTGTGATCACTCATATGTAAAATCTAAACAAAATATTTAGTTAATTATTAATCAACTATTAATTAAACAAAATAGAAGCAGAGTCCAATGGTGGTTACCAGGCTCTGAGGGGGCAAGGTTGGAGATACACTGTTCAAAGCATAGAAAATTTCAGTTAGATAGGAAAAATAGTTCAACAGATCTATTGTACAACATGGTGACTACATTAATAACAACATACTGTATTCTTGAAAATCGCTAAGAGAGTAGAAATTTAAGTGTTCTCACCATAGACAAGAATCATGATGTAAGGTAATAAACATGTAATTAGCTTGAATTAGTTATCTGATAGTGTACACTTTTTTCAAAACATCATGTTGTACATGACATACACAATTTTTATTTGTATATAACTTAACAACTAATTATTTTTAAGTTAAGTATTTAATTAAAAAATAATTAGTATACAATAGAAGATAAAATACTTTAAAAATAATTTTTAAATGGTGGTGGTAACAATAACACAAAACATTCTTATATAGCCATATTTTAGGTAACATATTTTTGGTTTAAAACTAAAAAAGGTGGTGATGAGACGAGAGCAACCCAGTATCTCCCTCATGCTTTCTTTCAATTTCTGAAGAAAATAATCAGTTAAGGTTTCAGGGTTAAAAAGTTCTGAACCCATAGTGCTAGCTGAATACTGGCTCAATTGATAATTCTGGTATATGATTGAGAGCAAGACTGCAGCCTGAAATAAAAATCATAATCTTTCTAAAAGTACAGACCCATAATTTGTATCTTCTAAAACTATGTATACTTTAGCCTGATAAGATTTACATGCTTCTAAAACTTGAGATACACCTTTGATAAAGTTTTATACACCACTATACTCACACAGACTTAGTTTCAACTTTGTCTCTAAAATGATTATTTTAAATTAATATATTTTAATAACTGCATATGCCAGAGGTGATTATCTAGTAAAAAATATTTACCATTTAGGGCTATAAAGATTTAATAGCAATTAATTAAAAACTTTGGAGTTTTTAAATGAGAAATGCTTATATTTTAAAATACTAAAGACACCAAAGGCAAACAAAAGGCAATTAGAGACTAAATAAAAGCCCACAAGAGTCAACAGAAATACACCGGATATATCTGCCTACATCTGGTATTATTGCATACTATTTACCATTGGTAACAACTAAGAGAATCTCTAGAATTTTCCTTTTTACATAAGCAACTCTCTAGATGGATACATTATCTTTATTTCTTTCTTACAGAGTTTTTCAGGAGGTGGGGGAGATGGGAAGCAGAAGGCAAATAATACTTTAGTTTGTTGAAACTTGTTAAGATAAAATAATTTGATGGACAGGGTAACTTAGTTGAAAAATTGAGTTTCTGATTATTTTTACATATACAGATTATATTGACTTGGTTAATAAACATCACCTAGGTAAAGGTATTATATAACTGTACTATATTAAAATTTACAACTTTCGCAAATACTATATATAATGATGTCATCATGAACAGGCATATTGAATCTATAGTTTAGAAATTGCAGAGCTACTTTTCTAAGACCATTTATTCTTACTTGAATACGTTTTACCAATAAAACAGTGTCTTACAAATGTTAATATTAATCCTTGGAGCATAACTCATGCAAGGATAGTTAAGACATCATTCCATTGTTACAGCTGAAAAAAGATACTCCAATATGGCAAAAAAACTTGAAGAAAGTCACCATTAATAAACAGATTCAATATAAGAATCCATGTTTCCAAGTATCACGTTTATGTCTACTGACATATTATTTCATTGGTAGTAATTTTTCACCAATATATAAAATATATAAAAATATTAATAACTTTTCACAGATAAATGTGAAAGGCAACATTCAACTGGCTTGATCTAATAATTTTATTTCTAAGAATCTATTCCCTACTGAAATATTCAACAATTTTTATTTTATATATATATATATATATATGAGCTATATACACTGCACACAACGACATACCATATTTTATACCAAATTTTAATGTAGTACAGTTATATTTGGTCAACGACATACCATATTTTTACTGTATCTTTTCTGTTTAGATAAACAAATACTTGTCATTGTGTCACAACTGCCTACAGTATTCAGTGCAACAACATGCTGTAGAGGTTTGTAACATAGAAGCAACAGTCTATACCAAATATCCTAGGTATGTAGTTCGCTAAGCCATCTAGGTTTGTATAAGTACATTCTATGATGCTCACACAACAAGGAAATCACCTAAAGACGCATTTTTCAGAGTATATCCCAATGTTATGAGACCCATGGCTGTATGTATGCATGTATAAATAAATATATATACTGGGGGTGCCAAAAAATGTATACACATTTTAAGCAATGTTATTTATGTATTACTTTTAGTAATCAGAAGTGTCTGGATGCTGATAGTAACCACTTTGAGCACCTCTTGTAATTGTAGAAGTCAAATGTGACTTGTATTCATCTTTTATTATTAATATATATTGAGTATTATAATTTTAATACAGTTTTTTCCTTTCTTAAAATGTATATAAAGAGGGCACCCTCTTTATATTAAGATGTTTATAGCATTATTTGCAACTGTGAAAAACTTGAGAAAATCTACATGAATATCATTATAAAAATAGTTAAATAAATGACAGTACACTGCCCTTTGAAATATTATGTGGTTATTCAAAGAATAAAGGAGATCTACAAATATGGGTATGGGAAAATTCCATGATTTACAATTGTTTGACACACAGAAAATAAAAGGATCAAAGACCAAAACCAAACAATTTCTCATGTTTCCTTTACTACATGTCTACTCTCAAAGAAAACTAAAAATAAACTCAAGAAGCAATATGCTCAATATGCCTACTCAATATACTCAGCATGGCAGTACTCAATATGATATTACTCTTCCTCACAGTTCTACATAAACCGAGCACTGTCTGTCTAGATATGCTTCCCAATGTTAACAACTCCTTGAAGTCTTTTGAGTAGAGGCTGCTCCTTTCTTCATAATCTATATACTACAGAGAATAGTGCTAGGATGGAGGCTCTGGGAAAACACATTACATTCCCCACTGCCATATGCAGTTTATTACTTCTCTACTCTTCCTCCTTCAAGACTTGTGTCTCCTGCTCTATCACCTTCTATCTCTCCTCACAGTTATCATCAATTCATTCAAGAAACATTTAATTAACACTAACCATGTGCAATGTAAAGTGCCTGCTAGGGCCTGGTGCTATAATTGTTAAGAAAACATAAGTCCTCCCTCCTCCCTATTATAGTCTAATAGGGGAGGAGACCTGCTGCACGAAGGCTAGTTACAATTTGTGCTGTCTTGTATGACAAACTGAAGTAGGGTGCTATCAAAACACAGAGGCAGTGCCTGACACACAGACAAAAATTCAACAATTGTTTGAGAAATAAATGACTGTTCATTAACACATGAGAATATAACAGTTTGTCATTTTTTGTGAAATTAGTGATCTCTAATTATCAATGAAAAGCAAGTAACTATATGATTTAATAGTGGCCAAAAAAAAAAAAATCTTTACAAAAGCAACAAAGAATAACAATGTTCTAGCACCTGGTTAGACAAGTTAAAAAAAAAAAAAAAAAAGAATTCAAATGCAGTACAAAGAAAACAAGTTCCTCATTATTAGTCTTACCTGACTGTGTCATGGATAATGACTCATCTGACCAACTATAACAATGCTGACGGGGCTTGACAGGCAGACGACATTGTCCTCCAGTCTTATGACTTCCTTTGCTAGACTCCTGCTTTGACACAGATGTGCAGCTTTTGGGAGGTGACTGTTCAAACAGAAAACCAAATTGGAGCTATTTTGTGAAACAGTTGTAAAATCCATTTAAAATGGGAGATACTAGCCAATTAAAGATAATATTTACAAAGAGTTTTAAATAACTCTTAGGACATGGTAAAAAAATTTACAAATTAAATCAAGGATAAGACCTCATCTTTTTTTAAAACAAAAAATTATAAAGGAGAATACTTTTAAAAAGATTTGTAATAAATTAGAGTGGCTATTGTGTCAGTGATATTTACCCTCTTATTCTTTTAATTTAAAAAATACTTAGTATGTACACTTTTATGGAAGGGAGGGAAGGAAAGAAGGAAGGTAGAAGGAAACAGAGTATAAGACTACCCTACCCATGAGAGATTATTATAAAAGACAACATTTCTACCCCGACATCAAGTGAAAGTGAGATGCCTGACTGGATTCCTAGCTACCATCACTTCCTATCCCTGCGATTCTGGGCAAGTTTCCCAGCCTGCTAATCTGTGGAGTGGGGGAGGTCAGAATAGCATATACTTTATAGGATTGTTGTGGGAATTAAATTAGATAATCGATGTAAGACATTTACCTGGCATTTGTTAAATAAACACTCAATAAATATATACTTTTATTATAAAAATCACCTTAAGATATACTAGGTTTTGATTTCTTTGACATATTTTCTTATGAAGGAAAAAAAAAGTCCCTCAATTTTTAAGTATTCAATTAGTTTGTGACTATTCTGAACCTCAATAATAATGCTAGGCAGAATCTAATCAATTTGTAAGAACTAATAAACCTAATAAGATTGTGTCCAAATGCACAGTTTGGTTGTAAATTCCTGAAAGGTAGGAATTTACATAATACTAACAGATAATGCTACAAATAAATTATCTATACTAGCCTAATATTACCATACAATAAATAAGAAACCACTAGCATGATAATTTAATTAAAAGACATAATCTAAAAACACTAGATTTCAAGTATGTGCACAAGGACATTGGAATATTTTAAACATTTTATGGAATAGGCTCTTTGAACAAAAAATGTTTTTCTTCTAAATCTTTCAGGTGCTGTAACATACGTTGATCTGACCGATTTTTCAATAGGGAAAAATGCAGTTAATTCTTTACATCCACAATAAAAATGACAAAATAAAAAATATTCTGTTCTGAATTTAGGTCGTTTTTTTTAAAAAACATAATGAGGCTTTAACAATGTCTGTGTGTTCACTAAATATTTAATATTGTTATGCTAATTACGTGGTATAGTTTATAAGATCAAGTTTAAAAAAAATAAGTTTCCATCTTGAGTTTTTACCAGCTAGTTTTTTTCTATAAAGTTCAGAGTTATGGATGATGTAAGACATCTAATTTAGAATCAATAACCATTTCAGACCAGCCTTATAGAGATGAAATCACTATTCTTATTCTCATTCTGACTATTTATAAAGCAGTTATTAACTAAGTTACAGTAAAGTACTCTGGTAGAGTTTAGTATCTTATTGTTTTTGTTATGTGTCAAAATATAAATTTCAGAAACTTTTGTTGTTCTTACAAATTATCTTTATTAAAGACTTTAGAAGTTCTTATCATCTCATGCTAATAGACTTCACAGTATATAATTTTATAACTGCCACTGAGTCTATAATCTGTATAAATCTACAAGAGTCAATGAAAAGCTTTATTTCTTTTTTAGGAGACAGGGGCTCACTCTGTTGCCCAGGCTGGTCTGGAACTCCCAGCCTCAAGCTATCCTCCTGTCTCAGCCTCCCAAAGTGCTGGGATTACAGACAGGTATAAGCCACTGCACCTGGCCCAAAAAGCTGGGACACAGTAAATGCTATCTGTATGTTACAAGTAGGGATGATTGGCCAGGTGTGGTGGCTCATGCCTGTAATTCCAGCACTTTGGGAGATGGAGGTGAGAGAACTGCCTGACGCCAGGGGCTTGAGATCAGCCTGGGCAACTTAGCAAGATCTCATCTTTGCGATTAAAAAAGAAAAAAACAAACCAAAAACAAAAAACTGGGTATGGTGGCATGCAATTGTAGTTAAAGCTACTTGGAAAGCTGAGGCGGAAGGATTGCCTGAGCCAGAAGGTCGAGGGTATGGTAGCTGTGAGCATGACTCTGTACTACAGCTTGGGTGATAGAGTGAGATTCCGACTCAAAACAAAACAAAACAAACGAAAACAAGTATGGGTGAAAGTTAATGCTGTCATTAGTAGCAATAAATAACTATTAATAATATTCCTATGAAAAGATAAAAAGATATAAATATACATCAACGTACATGTTTACTAACAGAGGTAGACGATTCTAGTTCCTGTGAAAAAATCATGTCTTCTATAAGTATGCTGTGATCTGGACTCCCTGGCTGCTCCTGCACCATAGACTCAGATGGTATGTATTCAACAGCAGAACTACCTAATTCTTCTGGAATAGAACTTTCACTGTTCAGATGAGAGTAGGAAGGTACTGGCGATTCCTCTTCACTCACTACTTCTAGAAAGAGAAGGTGAATACAAGAAAAAATACACAATCTTGGTCAATGGAAAAATTAAACTGATAAACTTCACATTTGCTTCTAGCATATCATTACTAGTTGCATTTAGATTTAATTCCTTTATCATGTCACTTAATATTTACTATAAAGTCTGTTAGTCTCATTAAGAATTTTGGCTGATGCCAACTGCGAGAAGAATATCTACCACATTGGTGTACAAATGAATAGAAAGTCTTAGTTTGTTGAAGTCAAATTTATCAATCTTTTACTTTATGGATTTTTCTTTGTATAATGTGTTTTTAAAAATCTTTCCTTCCCACTAATGTCATAAAGATATTTTCTTATATTGTCTTCTAAAAGTTTCATGGTTTTAATTTTCACATTTAAGCCTGTATTTCCCTTTTGGAACAGAGCTTTTTTATTGTCAGGTAGGGCTCCAACTTCATTTTTGCCTCCCACAAACATTGTTTTGGAGGGTCCTAAGTCAACTTTCCACTGGGTCTATTTCTAGGCTATCCATTTCATAGTCCATTTATCTATCCCAGAGCAAATATAATCTTGTTTTAATTACTACCCCTTTAGAAATCTTGCTATGTGGTCTAGTAAGTTCCTGCATCTTGTGGCTCTTGTTTAGAAGTGTCTTTGCTTTTTAGTCCTTTGCTCTTTCACATACTTTTTTTTTTTTTGAGTTGGAGTCTCACTCTGTCGCCCAGACTGGAGTGCAGTGGCCGCTCCCGGCCACCGCAGCCTCGATCTGCTGGGCTCCGGCGATCCTTCCGCCTCAGCCTTCCAAGTAGCTGGAATTACAGGCGCGCGCTACCACGCCCGGCTGATTTTTTGATTTATTGTGGAGATGAGGTCTCGCTGCCCAGGCGGGTCTCGAACCCGCCGGCTCAGGCAATCCACTCACCTCAGCCTCCCAAAGGCGCGGGATTATAGGCTGAGCCACTGAGCCTGGCTCACATACATTTTTAAATGAGCTTGTCAAACCCTACAAAGAAACCTTGCAGGGTTTCTGATTAAAACAGTCTTGAATCTACAGATCAGTTTGAGGAGAATTAACATCTAATTACACTGAATCTATCTGTGAATATGAAATAATGTTCCATTTATTTTGGTTTTATTTAATATCTCCTAATAAAATTCTAAATTGTCCTCCATAAAGATCTTGCATACTTTCTGTTAAATTTATTCCTGAGTACTTCATATGTTTTGTTTCTATTATATTTTGTTTCTATTTGTATCTTTTTTTGTTTTGTTTTATTTTGTTTTGTTTTTTGAGTTGGAGTCTTACCTTGTTGCCTAGGCGGGAGTGCAGTGGCACTCTCACAGCCATCCCAGCATTGACCTGCTGGGCTCCGGCAATCCTTCTGCCTCAGCCTTCCAAGTAGCCAGAACTACAGGTGTGTGCTACCATGCCAGCTAATTTTTTTTATTTATTGTAGAGATGAGGTCTTGCCAATTACCCAGGCTGGACTGAAACCCGCAAGCTCAGCAATCCACTCACCTTGGCCTCCCAAAGTGCTGGGATTACAGGCTGAGCCACCGAGCCCGGCCTGTATCTTTTTTATGAATTAGATTTTTTAACCAATTTTTGCTGGACTATAGAAATGCAATTGAGTTTTATTTATGGATTTTATTACCAGAAACCTTGCTAATCTCACTTATTAATTCTAGTTAACATTAAATTTATTATCTGAAAATAATGAGAATTTTGCTACTGCTTCTTCTTTCTTATAGCTTTTAATTCTTTTTCTAGTCTTAATGAACTGTCTAAAACCTCCAAACAATGCTAAACAGAAGAGGTGATAAGCATCTTTGTTTTATTTCCAAATTTAAAGGAAAAACTTTCTATGTTTTGTCACTAAATACACTATCCGTTATAGGGTTGGTTTTTTGTTTTTGTTAATCTATACCCTTTATTGAATATAGAAAGTTCCTTTCTATCGGTATTTTGATCTGAGGTTTATTTGTTTTATCATAAATGCTTTTAAAATTTTATCAAATGCCTTTTCTGAATCTACTGAAATGATCATGTAATTTTTTCTCCTTTAATCTCCTTCAGATAATTCACACATTATTAAAATTTGTGGTAAACCCATTTTGTAATTAAGTATTAGATTTGCTTATATAGTTGAATTTGGTGTGCCTATTTCCACACCAAAATAGGCCTTTTTCTTTTTGATACTGTCCTTTTATTGACATAGTATCACACGTATGTACTAGCCTCATAAAATGAGTTAAATAAAAATTTTGCCGGACTTGGTGGCTCAGCCTGTAATCCCACACTTTGGGAGGCTGAGGTGAGTGGATTGCCTGAGTCCACAGGTTCGAGAGCCACCTGGGCAACTTTGGCGAGACCTCATCTCTACAATAAATAAAAAAAATTAGCTGGGTGTGGTAGCGCGCGCCTGTAGTTCCAGCTACTTGGAAGGCTGAGAGCCCAGCAGATCGAGGCTGCGGTGGCCGGGAGCGGCCACTGCACTCCAGTCTGGGTGACAGAGTGAGACTCCAACTCAAAAAAAAAAAAGAAAAAAAGAAAGAAAGAAAAATTTCTTTACAGAATAGTAAAAACTTATAACAATGATTTTCTCTCCTCCTTGAATGTCTATTATACTGGTAAAGGCAGAGGAGGTCTTTATAAAAAGATGCTTAGTTACCAGTGTACAATTTCTGTACTGGTCAAAGAACCAAAAAGGTTCTCCTATCTTATTGACTAAGTTTGGTAAGTTGTATTTTTTAGAATTTAGCCATTTCTCCTAAGTTTTCAAGTGTGTATTGGCATAAAGTTATTTGCAATTTTTAAAATCTTTCCAATTTCTATACTATTTGTAGTTGTGTCACCTTCTTCACCCTGAATCATTTGCAATTTTTAAAGTAATGAAATAAACCTTTCCGTTATGTTAGGCTTTCGTTTGTAAGATGAACAGATATCAGTATTCACTACCTTTCTGTTCTGTTCTCTCGTCCTCCAGTTCTTTCTTAGGAGCTTTGGGTTTCATTAATTCTTTGTCCCAGGCAGCCAAAGCTTGTTTTTCCATTTGGCGAATTTCTGCTTCTTCGGCATCTAAACGTCGCTTCCACTCGAGGAGCTCCTCTGCATGTTGTCGCCGTTGCATTAACCTTTGCTCTCGCTTTGTCAGAAACCTATGGTCACACCATGAAGAACAGTGAGAGAAGTCTAAAGGCAGAGATCACTTTGATAGCTCTAGCACACATCACCTCATCAACAAGCTGTGCACAAGCAGAACATTCATACTACTCCTCTCTGAAAAAAGTTGGAGATGACAGAAGCTTTCATGAGTCAACTTATTCAGAAAATGAGACAATTTATGTTTTATTCATAATGGCTTAGAAGGTTTGCAAAGGGAAAATAGTGGTAAATTCACGAAAAAAACTTCAATATAGCTAGACAACCATAACTTGACCTTTTTTTTTTTTAGAAAGTAAGATTTATTAAGAAGACAAAAGCTCCCACAGTGGGAGGGGACCTGAAAGAAGGTTGCCCATAACTGACAATCTTAATACTTAACTTTTATATTCATTTTTTATAGGTTATTATTTTCTATAACAGAAGGAATAAATAGTTATTCTGAAGGCTCAGACCAGAAAGCACACAAAACTCAAAACAACAAAGACCGAAAACAATAAAAAACAAACCCCAAAGCCCCCAAATAAGCAAGCAAACAAAAAACACGGTTGTGTCCCTGTTTTACTTTTACTTTCAGATTCTGCCTGTCTTTGTTTCAGGTCTAGTGAGTATGGTTTCTTTCATTATCTAAGAGATGTAATGTTACGTGATAAATCTTTTTTTCATGGTGAGAACACTGAGCAACACAGTCAGATGTCTTATGCATATAAATGCAACTATTTACTTGAATAAAGGGATGCATCAAATGTCTCAATTTAATGTGATCTCTGAATTTAAATAGCCAATCATATCCTAGGCTCAAAGGGTTAGGAGAAAATACTGATTTAGGAAAAATTATTTAGTTTAGAAACTACTAAAAATAAACTACAAAGCTTCAAATGTAGATGCCACAACTAAATAAAAGGGGCTGCTTATATTACTGGTGTTATATCTATAGTGGTAGCTAAACCTCAAAAATGCACTCACGCATCCCATAAACACTTAAACGCACAACAACTATCACTCTACTTCTTGAGTAATCATTATGTCAAATTAATGTGGAAACAAAAGAGTAATGTTTATGAGACATTTGACAAGAGGCCTCCAGGCTATGAAAAAAAAAAGAAAAAGAAAAAGCAAACAAAACAAAAAGAACAGAGCATGCTCTATCAAAGAGTGCACTGAAAAAGGTGCAAAGTTACCTGACCAACTGGTTGTAGATATACAGCTGGAATTTGGGATGAAGGTTGGGAAAACAGACACTGAGAGAGGCCCAGTGATGAGACGTAAAGACAGAGAAGAAGTAGTGAACAGGAGAGCAGTGTCTACAAAATAAGGAGGAAGATTTTCAGGAAGAGATCAAGAGGCAGAAGAATGAGAAAGGGAAAGCACAAGAGCTGAGCCAAGAACTTTCAATATGCTTCCTGAACCACATTAGAGCTACTCAGTTAAAGCAAGGGTTAGACTCTGTGTGACATAAAAACATGTACTATTATAGATCTTACCAATGATGTGTGAATAATCATGCCTTTTCAAGTGCTCCTTAACAATCTTCTATATTTAAATTTACGTATTTGTGAATAAAGTAATGAGAAGTACACTGTGGGGCTACATAAATTTTCAGATAAGCTTTAACAGAGTACAACAAATACGGCCAAGAGCCTGTATATCAGCAACTCTACATAAATATGCAATCCTGAGAAAGTGATTTTTATATCTGTACTTTGTCACATACTTTGAAATTAAATTTTAAAAAGTACTACACTTGCCTTATTTAATCTTATCGTCACATTCTACCTTGAAAATAATATAATTTAGTAAACTGATTTATAGAAAAATACCTGTTCACCTCTACAACCTGAAGCTTACTGCTAACCTACTGCAGGTATCTTGTCTTATATTTAACAAAGCCCCACTTAAATAATAATACCAGAATATAATACCCATTCTATAAGATATCAGGATGCATAATTAAGAATAAAGTTAGTTATTCCCAATAAATATTGTGAGAAAAAAATGCTGTGGACAGCTCAATCATAAGGTTAAAGGTAAAAAGAAAATGTCATGCTAAAGTTACAAAAGCAGAAAAAACACTAATTTTTCTTCTTTTGTAATAGTAATTAGATCTATCTATACTGATAAATAGTCTAGTAAAAGTTTGGAAGGTTAATTCTCTTTGACAGAGCATGCTCCTGTTCACATGCACACAACAATATCTTATAGATCAAGGCAACGTTTATTGCCTTGGAAGGGCAAAGAGTAATATCAATATATCATAGAAGTGAGAAAATCTAGGTGTAAATCCAGTCACTCATTTGAATTTAAGAATTATGTATAATCTTGTCTACATTTTTAGATAACAGACTATTTTAATGTCTGTTTCCCCACATATAATTTAAGTATTTTATCACCCCTTCATTTACTTATACACACACACACACACACACACACACACACGCATATCTGGATTGCCTTGATTTTCTGCACTGAAGTTCAAGGAAGAACATTTTTGCCAAATTTCAGTAAGACACTGCAATCTTCCCTGCCATTCTTTATGAATGTACAGTATACTTATTTTGATGCCAACTGTCAACATATTATGTAAAGCAAATGTACTTGGCAAAAGGTTCAAAAAATATTCATAACATTTAAATATCACCCACCCTCTTAGGTGAATAACTGCTAAATGCATGTATGACCTAGTATAAAAAAGCAAAATAATATTTGAATATATGAAATAAACTGTAAAAGTATACAATTTACATTTTTCGTCTAGTCAAATATAGAGAACAATTTTTCTCTATTAGAATAAGAACTGACATTTATTTTTCATTTATAAAGAGTAAGCATATTCAAAAGCTCTAGTTTAGAAATGAGGACAAAAGAAATAATTAATAGAAAATGAAAACAAAAATTTAAGAAAAAGTATAAGAAAAGCTTAAAGTTAGAACTTCTTTCCAGAAACATGTTCCTTATATAATATATATTCTAGAACTAAAGAGTATTCTTTTAAGAGATGAATAAAGTTGAGATAAAAGAGAAGCACTTCACATTACGGTTAATAATTCTTCAAGATGCTGCACAGTAGAGAAATAAACAAAATTTGTGAATGATGGAGACACAAGTGCCCACTAACAAATAGAAAATGCTAATAATACCCTTTCAGTTGATGTCAAGGCATTCCTCGAACAAGGCCTTTGATGGTAACAGAATATTAGTCAAGGATTAGATACACAACAGATTTTAACTTAGTATGAAAATCATTACGTTCCTATAATGTTTGACCTTAAGGAATCAATGAGTAAGGTAAATAATTTGGTTTTTTTTGTTTTGTTTTTTTGATTTGAAGTCTCTCACTCTGTCAACTAGGCTAGAGTGCAGTGGCATGCTCATGGCCACCGCAGCCTTGACCTGCTGGGTTCAGGTGATCTTTCCACTCCAGCCTTCCAAGGGGCTGGAACTACAGGCATGTGGCATCACACCCGGCTAATTTTTTTTTTTTTATTGTAGAAATGAGGTCTCACCAAGTTGCCTAGGTTGGTCTTGAACCTGTGGGCTCAAGCAACCCTCTCACCTCGGCCTCCCAAAGTGCTGGGATAGGCATAAGCCACCACGCCCGGCCAAATATTTAGTTTTAAAGTCACACTTTTATATATACTCTAAACTTAAGCTGCATAACTATTCACCTCCAGCTATCAGTCATCTAGCACTTTGCCAGTTTCAACAAATACTATATAGAAGAATCAGTATCTACTGAAGATAACTTTTAAAGTCATCAGTGTAGTTAAAAACAAAAAAACTATGAGGTTGAAAGTAGATATGCTAACTCAATTTTAACTTCAGTCAGCTGAAGTGCACAGAGCAGGGTTCTATCTGTAGCTCTGCCATTCTCTGTATGTGTAGCCTCAGGGAAGTTACTTATATCTCTGTAGGCTTCCATTCCTTTATGTAAAACAGAGGGACTATACTAGATAACTTCCCTAAGAGCCCTTTTAGTTTTGACATTTTATGGTTCTACTCCATTCAAGTATTCCCACTTTTTTTCATATTTCAACACACAGACCATGCAACATAAACGTGAACATTTTTTCCCCCACTGAGTTAATATAATTGTGAATTGTGTTCCAAAGGATTATAAAATCATGTTGCAATTTGAAAGAAGAAAATTATGATATAAATTTTAAAAGAAACTTCTAGGTCTAAAATCCTTTGATTCAGAACAATATTAAAACAAACAAAACCTTAATACCTTTACAAAAGAAAACACCTTCAATTCCGTATTTGTTAGGTTGCCACTGTGCTTTCTCATCATTATCACTCGTAAGCCAAGAGGTCCATGGATCCTCTGGAATTGCTTGCTAACTGCATATGTGTGTATATGCATTTTTCTGAGGCAGCGTCATAATATTCATCTAATTTACAAGTATATCCAAGATCCCAAAAAGATTAAGAATCATTAGTCCACTTAGTATTAACCTTCAAGAAAACTGTTGCTGCCTCTTTATAATATTAATAATTCCTTATGCAATGCTATGCATCCCCTAACTATCGAGAGAGTTACACTAAAGCACTAGTCATTAATCTTTAAAAAAATATCTTAAATCTGAGTGGATTGCCTGAGCCCGCGGGTTCGAGACCCGCCTGGGCAGCGAGACCTCATCTCTACAATAAATCAAAAAATCAGCCGGGCGTGGTAGTGCACGCCTGTAATTCTGGCTACTCGGACGCTGAGGC